TATATCTAAGTAAATGGATTGATTGGTGGGTTAATTGATGAATGGATTGATTGGAGGGTTAATTGATGAATGAATTGATTGGAGGATTAATTGATGAATGGATTGATTGGCCGGTTGGTTGTTGATAAATAGAATATTAATGGTGGATTTATTGATCGATTAATTAATAAATTGATTATTTGTGGTGGATTAATTGATTGATACCTGGTTCGTCTTCATCTGGATCAAAGTCTTCCTCTGAACTATCTCCACTTCCTTCAGACTGGGCAAACTCCTGTACAAGTGTACTGTGTAGTTCACGGGGTCATTAAAAACATTCAGGGTATATAGTAGTGTACTGAGGAGTACAATCTTCAATTGTACTTGTAACATGTTTATTGAACACATTTTAATATTATCCTTTTATAACTAATAAAATTAAAGTAGATAATTGAATAATTATGAGGAAAATGAATGTTAAATAGAATATATTTTTTTAAATAAATAAATAACATTAAACATTTCTACCTCGTAGTCGAATGCTACTCCAAAGATATCTTCGGCCAGCTGACGTTGGGAATCGTCGAAAATATGCTTTTTTCGACTTTTCTTCCGCTCAATCGGCTTTCCTTCTTCGTCCACTATAAAGTCCTAAAACATCAGATACATAATTATCTTAGTGAATCGGATATGCCACTCTTTTAAATGGAAAGTTGTTTAAAAATAACATCGTCGACTGTTCCCTTCAGACACAAAAAAGCTCTTATTATTACATAAGCCCGACACTTTTTTTCGGGGTCAAAATTTGTGTAAACTGTAAAAAGAGAAAATGTTTTCAAAATTGTTTATGCTCAACATTTATTTTTGACTCTGACAGAAAATGTATACAAAAAAAAACTAAAAACGAAACAAAAACGAACGTATTATAAATTAATCGTTTTTGGATCGCTTACAATTTTTCATTAAAAATAAAAATATTGCATAGTTTAATATAGAAAACTTGGACAGAATACAGTTTTGAAATTTTGTAAAAAATGTTTAAAACCGATTAACAACACTATACCTGTATCCCGTCATCACTTTCTACAGAACCAGATCTAGCCCTGTAAACAATTTTTTTTTATATCTAAGTAAAATGATTATATTTTGTATTCTTTTTATATTATGTTGCTTAAACATCAAATCAAATCAAATCAAATCAAATCAAATCAAATCAAATCAAATCAAATCAAATCAAATCAAATCAAATCAAATCAAATCAAATCAAATCAATTCAAATCAAATCATATCACCTGCTTGATCTCTCTGGATCCGGGAGTTCGTCATCTGAACCACTAGCATCTCTTCTACTCTCATCTTCAGACTCGTCCGAGTCCATTTTCTGGATCCTAAAATAATTCAAACTTCATGATGGCGGAAAAAATAAAATGGCGGATATAAAATTCAGAATGGCTGATGTAAAATTCAAGATGGCGGATATGAAATTCTTACAAAATGGCGAATGTAAAATTTAAGATGGTGGATATAAAATGCAAGAAGGCGGATATAAACTTTCAGATGGCGGACAAAATAAAATGGCGGATTTGAAATTCAAGATGGCGGTTAAAAAATTCAAGATGGTAGATAAAAAATTAAAGATGTAGATGGAATTATAAAAATGTGGATTTAATTTAGAAAATTGTGGAAGCAAACTGCAAGGTTCTACAGTTACAAAAAAAGATTAAAATTAGTCGTGATAAAATTCAAAATGTCTGTTTGAAATTCAACAATAAAGATTATTCGATTAATTTTTTTGAAAATATATGTCAAGTCATATCTAAAAAACTTGAAATGGCTGACCTTGATCGTTTCTTCTGAAACTTGACTCCAAGGTTCTCCTGAATGAGATCCATATCGTCATCATCTGTTTACAACCAGATAATCACCTTATTTTCGGATATCTTACAAAAATCAAAACCATAAAAAAATCGAAACGAAAAAAAACATTTGATAGATCTGGTTCTAACTGAATAAAGCTGTTCAACAATAATAAATAGATAAAACTAGAATAATAATAACTTAAATAAACTGGAATCATAATAACTTGATAAAACTGGGATAATATTAACTGAATAAAACTGGAATAATAATAACTAGATAAAAATGCAATAATAATGACTAGATAAAACTGGATTAATTATTTGATGCAACTGGATAAAACTGGAATATCTGGTTTCCTAAATCTGAACCCTCAGAACGGGATTTGGATCTGGAGCGGGCTTTAGATTTAGATCTGGACCTGCAAACATCGAACATAGTTAGAAAATTATCTTGAGTACAATACAAAGGGCATTTTACCAAAGATATATTTCCACATATATACCCAAAGACATCTTTTCACAAATATACCCAAAGACATCTTCCCACAAATATACCCAAAAGCATCGTTCCACAAATATACCCAAAGACATCTTTTCACAAATATACCCAAAGGCATCTTCCCACAAATATACCCAAAGGCATCTTTCCACAAATATACCCAAAGACATCTTCCCACAAATATACCCAAAAGCATCGTTCCACAAATATACCCAAAGGCATCTTTCCACAAATATATCCAAAGGCATCTTTCCACAAATATACCAAAAGGAACATATTCTTNTCAAGAGACTCTCTAATTCACAACGGTACCTTTATTAGCTTTTTCTGATCAAGATAACCGATTATTTTCAATTGTGGTTTCTCTTTATTATATACACTGAACAGTACAAATATACCCAAAGGCATCTTCCTACAAATATACCCAAAGGCATCTTTCCACAAATATACCAAAGGCATTTTCCCAGAAAAATACCCAAAGGCACTATCCCAAAGTAAATTTCCAAAGGTATTTCCTAAAGGGTAAATTTTTAAAATACGTTTTCCTAAAGGTAGTTTTTCAAAGGTAGTTATCCAAAGACAGATAATTTCCTGAAGGAATTTCACAACGGCACCATTTAACGGTGGATAAATGAGAAATTCTAGTTTTACTGGTTGAAAATTAATTATTTTTGATTGTGGTTTAATAGTCACCGTGATATGCGGATTTATGCTTAGGATCCGGACCCGTTGGATTCGCAAGATTTTGGCAGAAATATGCGGATCCACGGATCCGGATCCAAGGGGTAAAATATCAACCAAAAACTGCAAAAAAAAAACTTGCAAAAAAACTTTTTTACTCCTAAAACCAGAGAGGGGGGGAATACCTAGAACCGGATCTTGAGCCTGATCTGGATCCTGACCCAGATCCGGATTCAGATCTTTTCCTCCTTCTCTTCTTCTTTCTTCTCTTTCGAGACCTATCCTCTTCTTCCTCTTCATCCTCATCCTAATTAGAAGATATTCTTGGAAATAGATAAAAAAATCCGCAAAATTTTAAAAACAGAAATGGCGGCTTGAAGACAACAAAAAACTCAATTTGTTACAAGAAAAACATTAAGCAGTTGCCTTGTGTTTACAAAGGTGACAATTTGTTATTTGGAGGTATTTCTAATTTTTCATTGTTGTTTTGAGATATAAGCTCAAGTTTTGTAACCCCAGAAAATATGAGGAGTAAACCTGTATTTGAAAATAAATCCATCTCCCATTATTATTGCAACAGTAGGTTAAAAACTATGTTTAAAATTATATTAACCCTTATATACCTGACTCATCATTATAGTCCCCTCTGGTAGCTGTGCATCAGGGTCTGCCAATAAACAATCCGTCTGATAAACTTGCATTTTCTCAAACAATCTTTTCATGTTTCTTTTCCTAAACAATTCAAATCTATAATTCCTAATTAAAGGGACTGTAAGCGTAATTCCTAATTAAAGGGACTGTTTCATTGAGGGTATCTGTATATGTTTATGGTTAACAGGAGAACTGATTAATGTAATGTTAATTGGGAATTCTAAATATAACTAATAGGCATTACAGGGGGCAGTGAATTTTAAAAGGGGCTATTTTTGACAAAACAAGAAAATATATACTGGGAAGGGGGGGTTACCTATTCTGTAGTTGGCACCATTTTTCATCCATGTGATAAACTCTCCACAGTGCATTAATATCAGACAGCTCGGGGTGAACATATTCTTTCCTAATTTTTTAAAATTAACCAAATAAATAATAACAAAACTTGATTTATTCATATTTGTTTAATTTTTGAAGCTTTGAGAAAGCTATAAAAGGAACCTAGATGTAAAAAGTAAAAATTTAATCTACCTTTAGAAAACTATGAATGGAATCTACCTATAGAAAGCTATGAATGAAATCTACCTAAAGAAAGCTATGAATGGAACCTACCTAAAGAAAGCTATGAATGGAATCCACCTATAGAAAGCTATGAATGGAGCCTACCTATAAAAAGCTATGAATGGAACCTACCTATAGAAAGCTAATTGAAATCTACCTATAGAAAGCTATGAATGGAACCTACCTAAAGAAAGCTATGAATGGAATCTACCTATAGAAAGCTATGAATGAAATCTACCTATAGAAAGCTATGAATGGAACCTACCCATAGAAAGCTATGAATGGAACATGGCTATAAAAACTATGAATGGAATCTTCCTTAGAAAGCTATGAATGAAACATGGCTATAAAAACTATGAAAGGAATCTACCTATAGAAAGCTATGAATGGAACCTACCTATAAAAAATAAGAATGGAATCTACCTAAAAAACTATGAATGGAATCTACCTATAGACAGCTGTGAATCCTACATATAGAAAGCTATAAATAGAACCTGTCTTAAGAAAGCTATGAATGGAACCTACCTATAGAAAGCCATGAGTGGAACCTGTCTTAAGAAAGCTACAGGGTGGCCAAAACTTTTTTGAACCCATCCGTACAAAAATCCGTACATTTTCAGAAGAAATCCGTACAATCCGTACAATTTTCGAAAAACAATCCGTACAATCCGTACAATTTTTTTTTAAAAATCCGTACAATCCGTACATTTTTTTAAATCGGATCCATTTTTTTCCAGTGCGGATCCAGGATATCCGCATCAAAATTAAATGGATCCTAAGCACTGGTCAGAAGTAAACTCTTTGCAGGATTGAAAAAGAAAGAGGTTTAAGAGGTACCAAGAGTTATAAATTTGACATAGCACGTGATCTACAGTCCCTTTATGAAAAATTCATTAATAGACTTGGTTGACGATGCACTACGAAGAGAGGGGGGGAATACCTAGAACCGGATCTTGAGCCTGATCTGGATCCTGACCCAGATCCGGATTCAGATCTTTTCCTCCTTCTCTTCTTCTTTTTCCCTTTGTGGAAGCTCTTGTTGCGCCTCTGAATATTACAAACTGATTTACCGCAATAAAGTCTTTCATTTCTTCCATTGCCTTCTCCTCATCCTCATCCTCTTCATCATCTGAACATATAAAGTAGAAATCTCTGATTGTCTGTTAGATAGTATGCCCGATCTTAACTCAGACACCCCTTAACAGCTTAGTTTTAAATTTTGATAGGATATCTCGTTAGGTCCACAAGATTGTTCTTAGCTTGGTTTTTAAAATATGAATTCCCTAATTTTGCGAAATAACCCATTAGCTTAGTGTATGTGGTGGTGGTGGGGGATGGGAAAACGAGAAAAAGTGGGGATAAATTTGAAACAACATGTTTAAAATATTTGTTACATATTTTAGAATCAAACTTATCAATCATCTATTAAGATATGGATTGTTTAAATCATAAATGTTTAAACCTAGTAAGCAGTTCAATCCTAGAGTAAAACTTTTGGACCCACTCCCCCCGCCCCTTCATCAAAAAACATACATGAAATATATTCAGTACTATACTAGGGTTATGTTAAATTAAAACAACTGCTGGGCCGAGCGCCGAGGCCAGAACAGGCAAGGGGGCCCAAGTCATACTTAAACCTTTGTACATTTTTTAAAGGGGGGGGGCGGGGGTACGAAAATCCATCAACAAGATTTTATCCAGTAAAAAGCCGATCCCCTCCCCCCTCCATTAGTTAAATAGTTAGTAAACAAGATACTCTGTAAGTAGTAATCTCTGTTCGTTTGTTTTGTTGTATGACCGATCAAAACTCATGAACACCTTGAACGATTTGCCTCATATTTTGATTTGGGAACGGAGAGAACCACGGGAATGTTATTAGTCTGGTTTTGAGATTCTAAGATGAGTAAATCGACGTTTATAGGGAAAAATAGCTAAAATCGTATTTAAAGACCAAGCGCTGGTAAACGGCGGGAGTAACTATGAGTCTAACCTTGGTAACGCTTGATTCTCAAGCTGGGTCTGTCCTAGAGAACCAATTTTGTGCATGATTTCAGCAAAATTATTATTTTAGGGTTAAGTTAGGTTCAGACAATATCTGGGCCGAGCGCGGCTGCTANATGGGTCCAAAAATCGTTCTCTAGGAAATAACCCTCAAGCTTGTGAGATCATGTAAACTTGGATTAAACCCAATCTGGAATAGAACTTTTTATTCACCTGAGCTGTCGTCCAACGCGCGTTTCTTATTCTTCCGTGCCTGAATGGCATCCTCATCACCTGAAAGAAACGCACACATTTAAAAATCGGAGAATTACAATAATAGAAATTATTGATTTCTTACCGGACACTTCTTCCTCGCTCTCCACGGCCTCTTCGTCCATAAAATCGGCCATTTTCCCGCTGAAAGTTAAATATTAAAGAATGGAAAACAATCTTAAGTAAATGCAATATTTTTAAGAGTTAGAACAAAGAATACTGCATGTGAAATTCTTTCATTTATCGTTTTGTTTAATAATTAAATTACAAATGCGTGGTATATTTAAAATTAAAGCGTCTCAAATAAACTGTTTAGATTAGAAATTTCTCAAGCGCAGTAACTTTTTCAAACAATGCCGCAAACTATTTTAAGACTAAGCTGTTTAAAGGGGTACATCCACAAATTATTTTTTTTGCTTCGTAATCTGTAATCAGTTTCGATATAAAGAGAGGTTTAGTAAATGTATCAAATTTCTTTTTAAATGATAATAAACTATTTTGTTTTATATTTATTGAAACTTTTAGCACACGACCCTTTAAGCTAAAATCAGTTGTCTTTGTAATTTTTCTCCAAACTCGCTTCATGATTCATTGATTTTCGGGTTATTTTATTTTACAATGTTTTTTTTACCTGCAATCGATATAAATAAACTTTTTATTAATTATCGAATTAAGTCGGAACCCTGAAGGCTGAAAACTTCAAAGTAAAAAGTGAGTTAAAAACTGCTAAGCTGCCATTTTCAAGTGCTGGTAATTGTAAGGCTTAACAATTCGCCATAAATAATGTCGTATAATTTGAATACAATGAATTTTTAACTACGCAATTTCGCCGAAGAATGAAAGTTGCTCTAACGTTTTGACTAAAAACATAAAAGTTCCGGAAGGTCACGACAATCACTGTGCGGGTGTGCACGACGCGATCCAACAAGTATTTTGAAAGTTAAGAAGGCCAGGATCTTTCTGGGCCCCCGCCACCCCCTCCCTATGGTCAGTCTCAAAGCCTCAGCATGACCTAGATTTCAACTATTTTCATCTAAATTTATATTTTTTGTATTTTTAGAATTAATTTATGTTAAGACAATTTTCAGGCCGAGCGTTGCATCTAGGAGGCTAGGGGGCCGAGGATAGCGTCCACAAGGCACTATCCCAAAGTAAATTTCCAAAGGTATTTCCTAAAGGGTAAATTTTTAAAATACGTTTTCCTAAAGGTAGTTTTTCAAAGGTAGTTATCCAAAGACAGATAATTTCCTGAAGGAATTTCACAACGGCACCATTTAACGGTGGATAAATGAGAAATTCTAGTTTTACTGGTTGAAAATTAATTATTTTTGATTGTGGTTTAATAGTCACCGTGATATGCGGATTTATGCTTAGGATCCGGACCCGTTGGATTCGCAAGATTTTGGCAGAAATATGCGGATCCACGGATCCGGATCCAAGGGGTAAAATATCAACCAAAAACTGCAAAAAAAAAACTTGCAAAAAAACTTTTTTACTCCTAAAACCAGAGAGGGGGGGAATACCTAGAACCGGATCTTGAGCCTGATCTGGATCCTGACCCAGATCCGGATTCAGATCTTTTCCTCCTTCTCTTCTTCTTTCTTCTCTTTCGAGACCTATCCTCTTCTTCCTCTTCATCCTCATCCTAATTAGAAGATATTCTTGGAAATAGATAAAAAAATCCGCAAAATTTTAAAAACAGAAATGGCGGCTTGAAGACAACAAAAAACTCAATTTGTTACAAGAAAAACATTAAGCAGTTGCCTTGTGTTTACAAAGGTGACAATTTGTTATTTGGAGGTATTTCTAATTTTTCATTGTTGTTTTGAGATATAAGCTCAAGTTTTGTAACCCCAGAAAATATGAGGAGTAAACCTGTATTTGAAAATAAATCCATCTCCCATTATTATTGCAACAGTAGGTTAAAAACTATGTTTAAAATTATATGTAAATCCCAGCAGAAATTGATGGTAAATCCCAGCAGAAAGTGATGGTAAGTCACAGCAGAAATTGATGGTAAATCCCAGCAGAAATTGATGGTATATCCCAGCAGAAAGTGATGGTAAGTCACAGCAGAAATTGATGGTAAATCCCAACAGAAATTGATGGTAAATCCCAGCAGAAAGTGATAGTAAGTCCCAGCAGAAAGTGATGGTAAGTTCCAGCAGAAAGTGATGGTAAGTCTCCACAGATAGTGATGGTAAGTCCCAGCAGTAAATGATGGTAATTCCTAGCAGAAAGTGATGGTGAGTCATAGCAGAAAGTGATTGTAAGACTCAACAGATAGTGATGGTAAATCCCAACAAAAAGTGATGGTAAGTCCTAGCAGAAAGTAATGGTAAGTCTTAACAGATTTTGATTGTAAGTCCATACAAAAAGTTGAGGGTAAGACCCAGCAGAAAGTGATGGTAAGTCGAAATAGAAAGTGATGGTAAGGCCCAACAGAAAGTGATGGTAAGTCCAAGCAAAAAGTTGAGGGTAAGACCCAGCAGAAAGTGATGGCAAGTCGAAATAGAAAGTGATGGTAAGTCCAAGCAAAAAGTTGGGGGTAAGACCCAGCAGAAAGTGATGGTAAGTCCAAACAGAAAGTAATATCCTTTGGTTAGATATTGGTTTTTTAACTTTTCAATATCCTAAAAAAAGGGTAGGGATAATTTTATTGAAATGTATATTTCCCTTAGGAAAATTTTTTAAGCTCATTGCTCTGATTTTTCAGGAACAGTTACTCTTGCTGCAGTAGCAGCTCAGTTTCCAGGGACTACAGGTAATTGGCCCAGGTTCAGGTCTCCTTCATTCATAACAATGAATATAAACGTAAACATTGTGTAATTTTTGTCGTTTTTGCATAATAATTATGAATTGCAAAATTACATTATCATAATTTTGCAAAATTGCAAAACTACAGTGTCCCAAAAAATTCGTAGTTGTAGCCTTGCCTTAATTTTAGACCATTCATTATTTATGATTTTGGACTGCTCATTGCTGTATTACCCAGCTTAAAACAAATAAACTTCTTATGAAAATCAATGAAGGCCATTTAAATTGTTTGATATAATTTAAATTCATCTAAGATTTTTAAGGAATTTAGTTAGTATTTTCCGGAACTACTGCCCTGCCGTCACTCCTATAGTGTTGGGATTGTTAAACCTAAGAGATAAACCAACTATGGATTTCCACACCCTGCCTTCAATTTAAAAGGGCTGGGTGATGCCTTTTAATGCCTTTTTTTAAGAAGATGTATACTTTTCGGCCTTTTCACTTTTGAATTTTTACCCTGTAAAATGCACAGGGGTGTATATTTTCTTTGTAAATCACCCCCCCCGTGAAATACAATTTTTTCTACAGAAGTTAGCTATGTTTGCGTTGTTCGCCATAAAATGTTTGTTTGGCTGACTATGAAAACAATGGTTAATTTTTAGGGAAAATAATTAAAATTTAGGGTTAAAAGAGTGTAAGATCATCAAAGAATCTTTTATTAAATAAATTGCTTGTAAATTCATGTATATTCTTCGTAATCAAATACAGTTAGGGAAAATCTTATTTGGAGAAATTGGGATGAGGTTGGGATGATTTGTCAAGAAAATATATATCCCTGATCAATCTATTTTAACTTAAGGATTGAAATACAGAAACCCTGAAACAAACAAGCTCCGTGGAGTCCGGATACAGGGTGATATACTCTACCCTCCTTCAGAGGAGGAGGGGTGGGGACCATATACCTACCTTTGTGTCAGGTATACAGGGTGATATACTCTACCCTCCTTCAGAGGAGGAGGGGTGGGGACCATATACCTACCTTTGTGTCAGGTATACAGGGTGATATACTCTACCCTCCTTCAGAGGAGGAGGGGTGGGGACCNTGAGCCGAACTTTGCATACTCTCAAGCACAAATCATAATTTTGCCAATTTCTTCTCTAAAAGTGAAATTAGAAACAAACAACTTATAGATTTAAATTTACAAGTCTAGGGCTAGAATAAAAGCAATTGGAAATTGATGCATAGTTTTCATTAGCTACCTCTTCGACTCCCCCACTTCCTTCTTCATTGTCATGTGTTACACTGTCACATATTCGTGTGGTTTCATGTTATTGTGACAACTCTGTTTTGAGATTTCATTTATTGAGTTTTCCTGTCTTCGATGGGACAAGGTTTCTGGTTATTTGATTTTAATTTATATTCCAATCATTCTCTTTTGTGCAAAATTGATAGTTTTGATAAAACACTCTTTTTTCTCCAGTTCTTTTGTAGTTAAATACCGGATTTATTTTTCATTTTGTTACCAGAGCTGAACTTTTTCTTAATCTCCAGATTAAATATTGCTTGTTCTCCTCTTGTTATTAATCTCCAGATTAAATAACCGATCGGGATTAAGGATATCCCATTCTAAGGTTTTCAACTCAAGAAGAATAAAAATGAGTTAATACTTCAATAAGTTACATATTTGTTTTTGCCAGAGTAAGACCTGAATCTTCTCCAAAGAAAGATGAATCTGGGCTGAAGAGGAAAACAGATAATGATGGAGAGATGTACAGCAAGAATATACGGGTAAGTAAAAGGGACAGTAGGCGTAATTTCAAGAGACTCTCTAATTCACAACGGTACCTTTATTAGCTTTTTCTGATCAAGATAACCGATTATTTTCAATTGTGGTTTCTCTTTATTATATACACTGAACAGTTTAAACTGGGTTTATGTACAGTATAATCTGTGTTTATGTAAAGTATAAACTAGGTTGATATACAATATAAACTGGGTTCATGTACATTAAAAAACTGGTTAATGTACATTATAAACTGGTCTATGTTCAGTATAATCTGTGTTTATGTAAAGTATAAACTAGGTTGATGTACAATATAAATTAGGTTCATGTACATTAAAAACTGGTTTATGTACATTATAAACTAGTCTATGTACAGTATAATCTGTGTTTATGTAAAATATAAACTAGGTTGATGTACAATATAAACTGGGTTCATGTACAATAAAAACTGGTTTATGTACATTATAAACTAGTCTATGTACAGTATAAACTGATTTATGTAAAGTATAAACTAGGTTGCTGTACAATATAAACTGGGTTCATGTACATTAGAAACTGGTTTATGTACATTATAAGCTAGTCTATGTACAGTATAAACTGATTTATGTAAAGTATAAACTAGGTTGATGTACAATATAAACTGGGTTCATGTACATTAAAAAACTGGTTTATATACATTATGAAATAGTCTATGTAAAGTATAAACTAGGTTTACGTATAAAAAACTGTAAAGTATAAAATGATTTTAGCGGGGTTTACATACTTTATAAACTGGTTTATGTACAGTATAATCTGGGTTTATGTACAGTATAATCTGGGTTTATGTACAGTATAATCTGGGTTTATGTACAGTATGATCTGGGTTTGTGTACAGTAAAATCTTGGTTTATGTACAATATAATCTGGGTTTATCACATGTCACCTGTACAGTTTGATGGTGATGATAATGACACTACTGATCTGATTGTGCTGACTGCTGAGTTTATGTACAGTATAAACTGGGTTTTTGTACACTAAAAACTAAACAGTATAAACTGGGTTTATGTACACTTAAAAACTAAACAGTTTAAACTGGGTTTATGTATAGTGTAATCTGGGTTTATGTACAATATAAACTGGGATTATGTACAGTATGATGGTGATGAGGATGAGACTACTGATCTGATTGTGCTGGGTTTATGTACAGTATAATATGGGTTTATGTACAGTATAATCTGGGTTTATGTACAGTATAATCTGGGTTTATGTACAGTATAATCTGGGTTTAT